TGTGTGTCTGTGTGTCTGTGTGTGTGTGAGTGTTTCTTGCTTTTTCATCTTTTTGGTTTGTTTTTTAAAGAGAGAGAAAGAACATAAAGTTGGGTAGGTAGGGAAGTGGAGAGAGTATCTGGGAGGACTTCGGGGGAGGGCTAAACATGTATGAAAGAAAAAGAAAAACCTGTGGGTGACAGCCAATACATTAGCCAGCCACATAAGTGTAAATTTATGGTTAGGTATGTGCAGTCAAGTGAACAGTCACCAGAAGGGAACCTTTGACTCCACACAGGCTTAGCCTAGAGTAGTCACTGTCTTTCCTTACCCCTTTGCTCCTGCTTTCTCTTTTCCTTGTAGGTAACTCTGTCCTGTTGCAGACTGTAGATTGCCTTTGAAGTAAGTTGTGCCAGTACTCAGCATGCAGGATGGTGAGGGAGAGAGGACCAGGGCAGTGATACAGTGTGCACTGAGAATTTGTGTTTTCAGTTGTTACATTAACACTGTTTAGCACAAGGCTTCTTGGTAGCCTCCCTTCTTTCCCAATGCTTGGAGTAAGTCTTTCTGGTATGCTTCTTAGAACAATAAAATCATAAGCCACATTAAAAAAAAAAATCTAGGCTGCTGCAAGTCAGAATTAAAGTATATGCTTAAGAGGACCAGGGCAGTGATACAGTGTGCACTGAGAATTTGTGTTTTCAGTTGTTACATTAACACTGTTTAGCACAAGGCTTCTTGGTAGCCTCCCTTCTTTCCCAATGCTTGGAGTAAGTCTTTCTGGTATGTTTCTTAGAACAATAAAATCATAAGCCACATTTAAAAAAAAAAATCTAGGCTGCTGCAAGTCAGAATTAAAGTATGTGCTTAATTAAAAGTGGTTTTCCTTGAGATTAATTTGCCCCCCCCCACTCCCCTTTTACCTCTCTTACCCTGAGCTAGAGGTCAAAGCCAGGGCTTTGCACACACTGCGTCAATAACTTTATCCTGGGCCCATATCTCGAGTGCTTCCCTCTGACTTGTTGACTTATGGTTCTGTAGTTTTGCTGTACCTGTGCCTTTTTTATATAAGGTGCCTCAAGAGTGCAGAGATGTAGAATGGCGAGAAACAAACAGATGTTGACATGAACACACGTGGATATGTATTTGTAAAAAAAACAACATATTAAAATGTTCTGTGCCACTCAAGCTCCAACAAGCTATAACTTTAGTTTTCTTCTGTGCTGTTGTAAAGAAGAGTGATATAAACAGTCCAAGGACTAGGAAGCATTTAATAGTGGCTGTCACCTGGAAAAATGTGGCAAGTGCTTCAAGTCCTTCCTGGTTGTCTTGACTACAGAAGTCTTGTGGGTGGACCAAGGATTCTTCTGGCCATCCTGTGATGCCCAGGGCTGGCTCCACCACAGGGAGGGGGGCACTCTAAAGCCTGGAGAGGATTCTGAGTGAGTTTGTAGGTATCGGACAACGGTAGAGGCAACCTGGAGTTGTGGGGCTGACAAGTCACTTAGCCTGGTTTCCTTGTTTTTAAGCTAGGAGGATAATTGAAGAAAAATGTAGCCATATAATCTCCCTCCCTCCTAAACCTGTGATCAAGCAGATTGCCTTCTTATCTACAAGAAAAGATAGTTTAACCTCTCTCAAATGATTTCTGTTAGTAATAATTAAAGCATTTTGTGTGTCAAGTGTTTGGTGTGGTCTGCAGCCATAGTGAGTTGTTAATAGTGATGGTGAGAGCTATGGCCATTGCCCAGTCTTGGATCCCTCTACAGCCTGTGGACCTCTTCCACCCACCTCAGGCACGTGTTTGCACTGTGCTGCTCTGGGGGGGTCTGTGAATCTAATGGAGATGAAGGGCTGGACTCTGGCTTCACTTGGTCACTGCTAACCAAAGAGACATCCTAAATGAATAGTTCTCCGAGAGAGACAAAAACCAAGGAAAGTTTGATCCCCCTGAGAACAGGCAGAGAGAGCTCAGTGAATGGTGTCTACGTGGCCATGGAGGCAGGAAGGGTGAATGAAGGTAGGCAAAATGACCCTTGTGACCTTAGCCATGTTCACCTGGAAGCAGGCTGACCATCCAGGTGAGAGTCCCTATTTTGCAAGGAGGTTGGTTCAACCCTGTGTCTGAAGACCCATCCCGCTGGGAGACTCTCTGATGTTTAGTGGATTTGGTTTTAGACGGATCACGTGACATTGTGCTCGATGCTAATAGGCATGTGTAGACAACTACAAGCCTCCTGTTTTGTAGTTGGGAAGTCAAATGATTTATTGGGTTTTACTAATTCAGTCAATATGGGCATATGAGGAAGATATTGTATAAAACATTTTTCCTCTCAAATAGTAATAAATTATCTTACTAATAAGTCTATGAAATAAGACTCCTCAAATTTCTTCAAAGACCAATAAAAATTCATTGCAGTTACTCTGTGATTGGAATTGTTATTTCATTTGTTAGATTAAATTTGTTCAAAATTGATGGCTCTCTGCAGATATTACCAGAATTCCAGAAATACTAGAGCTGTGTTACAAACAGAGATTCAGTTCTCTTGAGGGGGAAAAAAAACTTTATGTGGTAGCCCTCTTTTGAATGTCCTGATTGTGTGTTTGGAGCCCCAAGAGATACCATATCATAGTCATTGAAAGCATTTCCTTTTACATTAAAAACATGTAAGTAGAAAAAAGAAAACTGGATGGATTGCAGTTGGTTGTCTGTTTTTCTGTTTTCTCTGTATTGTGGGACAATGAAGATTTGTAAGGCTCTGAGAAAAGTCAAATACTCCATTCAGTGAGTAGTGAGTAATAACCACCACTGTGTTAGAAGTTGGAACCTGTATTGTGGGACAATGAAGATTTGTAAGGCTCTGAGAAAAGTCAAATAGTCCATTCAGTGAGTAGTGAGTAATAACCAACCACTGTGTTAGAAATTGGAAGTTAAATGGCTTATGGTGCTCTGGAGATGGCTTGGTAGGCTACGTGCCTGCCATACAGCGGGAACACCTGAGTTTGCATCCCCAGCACCTGCGTAAAAGCCACAGGAGTCTGTAGCCCTGCATTGGTGAGTGGAGAGAGACAGATGTCCGACTCCAGAGCTAGCCAACCACTTAACCAAAATGGCAAGCCCGGGATTCACAGTGGAAAACAATAAAAGGAGACTCCCAGTGTCAACCTCTGGCCTCTTCATGTACATGAATGAGTGAGCATACGAGACACACACACACACACAGAGAGAGAGAGAGAGAGAGAGAGAGAGAGAGAGAGAGAGAGAGGAGGAAGAGGAGGAGGAGGAGGAGGATGAAGTTAGTGGTTTGCCCCAAGTCACACAGCTGGGAAGCAGGAAAGCCAAGGCATAAAAGTTCCACATGACTTCTGAGTACAGAGCCTTCAGTACACACTGTCACATCCATGTGTTCTTAGCAAGAAAGACTTAACTGGATTAATAAATCCCTGCTCCCCCAAAATTAGGGTGTTTTTAAATTCAGAATGGTCCACTGAAGATTTTTTTTTTTTTTTAAGGTGCTGTGTAATGGACCAGGAACATGTGTTCCCATCTGTGTGTCTGCCCTGCTCCTTGGGATACTTGGAATAAAGAAAGTGATCATTGTCTACGTTGAGAGCATCTGCCGAGTGGAAACTTTATCCCTGTCTGGGAAGATTCTCTTCCACCTCTCTGATTACTTCATTGTGCAGTGGCCGGCTCTCAAGGAGAAGTACCCCAAATCTGTGTACCTTGGGCGAATTGTTTGACAAATGGCAACTTCAGAGTCTTGAGAATTTTACAATTACCAATAATGTTTACTATAATATCTGTCTTTATTGTAAAGTTTTCCAAAAGCCCAAAGAATTATCAATGGTGAAGAGTTTAAAGTGTTCGGATAATGCAATGAAGAAAGAAAGACAACCATTAGCACAGAGTGCCCATCGAATCTGCACACTAACATATTTTTCTAAATAAAAGTATGTAACACTGCAGGTTTTCTTTTGACTCTTATAGTCATGCTTTTTTTTTTTTTTTAGTTTTGTTTTGTTTTTCTCGACCTAAATATAGTTTGTATGTTTAGTAACATTTCCTGTTTTACAGCTTTAAATAAAACAAAAGGAGTCTACATTATAAAAAGAAAAGGACAGGATAAGCTGGTTTTGGGGGTAGGTATTGTCATTCTAGCATGCGATTACACACTCATGAGGTAGAGGGAGGGGATCAGGAGTTCATGGATACCCTGCACTACCTACCAAGTTTGAGGCCAGCCTGGACTACAAAAGGAGCTGGGCACAGGGAAGTGAGGAGAGAAGGGTGGGGAGAGAGAGAACAAGGTGTTCCTTTGGTTCTGTTCAGACACATCAGGCTTTAATCCTGGTGTGGAAGCAGTGATGTCCCCAGTGAGCTATCACAGCCTAAAGGAAGCAGTTTGTTAAACTGGTTTCATGACAGTTTACACTCCACAGGCTTCCAGATCTCTGGCCATAAACAAATGTCTTTCTTCATTCTTCAGTCTTACTTTATGTGGTGTTGGCCCGTCTATTCAGACAGTATTTTTAAAGTCTGTTTGGTTAAAATAAATTTTAAAGTGACCAGAGCTGTAGTTATAAAAGCGTGTTTCTATTGATCAGGAATCTAAATTCTCAAACATTAAAAAAAAATTAAATTTATTTCCAAAGCCATGGCTGTAATTGTCTCTAGCCTTCTGAGATGCTTAGGCCTGTCTGGTAGCAAGTGTATTTATAAACATTTGTGTAGTGCTTGTTGTCTGCCAGGTATTTTAAACGCCATTCAGATAATACCTAATTTCAACCTGGAAGGATTCAATGAGGTAGAGACTCTTACTGTCCCTGTTTTAGTGGATGGCTCATCCAGGATGACATGACTAGGAAATGACAAAGCCAGATCTGACCCTAGGTAGACTGTCTTGAGAATGACACCAATTTCATGAGTATGTGGCCTATGCAGTCAGAGTGCCATACTCACCAAGGTCCGCACACTCTGCTTTCAATCTTTACTTTTTTTCCTGTTGTATTATTAGTATTTGTTGTTGTTGCTGCTGCTGTTACTGCCATTTTCTAGTGCTAGAGATTAAACCAAGGATCTCCCACCCTGTTAGATGAGTAATTGGCCTCTCAGCTCCACCCTCAAGCAACTTCTTAATTTTAAACAGGAACTCACACTTTAGACCCCACAAATTATGTAGCTGGTGCCTCTTGAGACTGTGCCTCTAACAGAACCATGTCTGTGACAGAAGTTACTCAGTGGCCGGGAGTGTGTCTCTTGCCTATAAGCAAAGCCACCAAAACAAAAAACAAAAAACAAAAAAAACCAAAAAACAAAACAACAACAACAACAAATTCACATATAGTATTTGAAT